GTATGGATGCCAATTCTCTTAATAGACCAACTGCAGAAGATATCCATAATAAATTATCTAGATGGTATAATATAGTAGATAATAATGCTGCAGAAGATAATAATGAATTAGTAATGTTGAAAGCATTTCAGTCTGCAGATGCAATTATTCCAACATTATCAACAGAATTGCCAAATTGCCCTAAAGATAAACTTACAAGTAAACTGCTTAACTTTAAAAACCTTTCAAAAATTTATGGTGAATAATTACACTTATTAACTTATATCTTGTTTTTAATTAATCTATAAAAGTTTTAACTACTTTTTAATTTTTAGGTTCTAGAGAATGTGAAGTTTCGATTCCTGATGATCATTATAATTCTTCCACTGCATCACCGTCAAAAAAAGTTCGAACGTGATTTCGTTGATTAAGATTGACTAACTTTCAGAAACAGCAAATAATACAGAGAGTCTCGTATGCGTAGTAATATTGTAATATGGAGCTACGCTATGGTATGTAATAGTTGGAAGGATAAATATTATAAATATGATGATATATGGTGGTTTGGTCGTATCCTCGAAAGAGGAATAATGTATTTATATATATCTGTATATTAAATATATGTTTATTTATTCAATAAAAGAAAATGCCGAAGATAACTACGTAGCGAATCGAAAAATGCCTATTATATACTTAAGTAGATTAGTGACGGTGTCGATCACGTGATGATCGACAAATAATTCTAAGCTGTGATTCGCTATTGCTTTCATGTGACGAAAATCAATTATTTTTTATGAACTTTGATCGAAGATATCTCGGCAATCAATCGATCAAATCCGATGAAGATTTTTTTTATTTGAATTCTAGAGTTCTGTAAATTTGAATAAAAAAAATTTCATTGAATTTGATCGATTGGTTGCCGAGATATCTTCGATCAAAGTTTAAGAAAATTTTTAAAACGTATGTCATAGAAACTGCGCTGAAATTGTTTACAAAACTTTGATCGAAGATATCTCGGCACCCAATCGACCAAATTCGATGGAAATTTTTTTATTTGAATTCTACAGAACTGTAAAATTCAAATAAAAAAATTTTCATCGAATTTGATCGATTGGTTGCCGAAATATCGTCGATGAAAGTTTAAGAAAATTTTTAAACCGTAAAACGTATGTCACACCAAAATTGTTTACAAAACTTTGATCGAGATATCTCGGCAACTAATCGATCAAATTCAATGAATTTTTTTTTATTCAAATTCTACAGAACTCTAGAATTCAAATAAAAAAATTTCATCGAATTTGATCGATTGATTGCCGAGATATAGTTGGCCGGTATTATTGCTTAAGGCCACCTGGCTTTGGCCTATTCCCGACCCAAATTCGGCCGATTTGCTGAATTATTCCTCCTGTTTGCAGATCATTTTATTAGTGTTATGTTAAGTAATTTTAAATTTCTTTATTAAGAATGTTAAAATGTTACGTAATGTCAGTACGTATTTCAGTCATGGTGAGATTATCGTTACGGATTAGCGTTAGATCAGTATATTAAAAAAATTTTATTGCAGGTTGAAAATTTAATGCACGTGTTCAAAAATTTAGGATTTCATGTGAAAAAGATGAGAATATTATCATTATGCCAGATTGAACGCACCAATCTCGACACCATTTTTGATGAAATGCAAAATTTTAATTAGCAAATGCGTTCATTACCTCCGAGACTCACATCCGCACAAAAATCAAAAGTCACATTGTCTCTTTTTACAACAGTGGCTTTATTTGCTATATTTACCGTTGCTGCACCTCCTTTTTTACCATGCCCTGTTCTTGATGACACACAACGTAGGGCATTATTGGAACAACGTCTTAAAGCAGCAAAACTTGAAGGATCCAGCAGAAAAAAAGTCGTGGTGATATTGAGAAATAAAGATGATATTACCGGAAAATAGAATGAATCAGGAAACTAAGGTAATCATAATCTATCGCTATTATGAAAGATAAATATGTTTATAAGGTGGGCTCATACTCTTATTAAATACCCTTAGCACTTAGTACGTGCATATACACGTAAATAAATAAGATTGTAATAAAAGATTTTTTAAAACCCCGCCCGACTATTAAAACATATAAAAAATTTTCCTTCAAAATTTACCCGGCCGGGTTATGAGCAGTGTTCGAAATTTAAGGCACAAATACTGTCTCAAATACTGTTTTATGTTCACGAATAACCAAACAAAAAAACTATAATAGAAAATACATATTATAGTAAGGATTAGAACTGTTTACCTGCGTAAAGATTGTTTTATAATTCCAACATGAATTACATTGGTAATGAGTCAAATTTAATGCCAGTAATTAGCACGGTTAAACGGTTAATCGATTAGAAAATTATTATAGATGAGAACACTCTTATTATTTTACTTTTCACAAAAAATTTTTAATAGAGAACATTAAAAAATTGTACTGTGCACAAATTCATAATGATGTTCTCATGAGAACTCTGAGAACACTAATTTCGAACATTGGTTATGAGAAACAACTAATTAAATTTATATGGCCTTAGATATTATAAACCTATAAATATTTTTTGTAATATCATTAATTGAGTTTTAAATTAATGGTCCATGTATACACAAACCAGCGTTGTAAAATGAAGAGGTCTATTAGTAAAAGTTTATTAATAAATTCACCATGCAGCGAAAATTTATTATCAACTATATTAAGAATTTAATTATCGAGAATTCGTTATAACAAGATTAATTTTTAAATAAATCATGTAATTTGTTCTAGAACTAAAATTTTGAATTATTAGTGTCACATCAATGAAAATAATGACGAGTTATATATATTAATGTTGGTTAAAGAAAAAAAATAACAAAAATGAATATAAAAATTTAGAATTACTACAAGTTCTCAATTTGTTTATGAGGCACCGGTTTTTTTACTGTATTAACTGCGCCATTTTTACCATATGATGTAATTTTTGGTTTTTTATCCAAATGTTTATTATTATTTTTTGTTATCATTTTTAATTCTCTGACATCTCTTGTGGTGATACGAGGTCGCCTTCTTGGAGTTTTAAGCTTTTGCAATGCATCATGGATGATTGTTTCACATTTAAGTTTCATTTCACGAGCCAAATCTACATCGACAAATGTATCTGAAAATTTGTAACTGTTCAAAAAAGTAATTGGGTTGTTAATTAACAAAAAATGTAATATACATCGAATCAAAAACACCATTATTTTACCTTAACCATAGATATAACATGAGTGTACGATGAACGGATTCAAGTTCGCCAAGCATATCATCATTATGGGGTACTGTTTCCGGAAGTGTGACTATTTTTGAGATATTACAAGGACTTCCCTGACTATGCAACATAGCAAACTTGATTGAAAATGATTATTTAAGATATTATGACGTTAATAATTAGAACATTATTCATATATTTAAACCCGAATTTTACTGTTATTAATCAAATTACCTTTTGTACGTTTTTCATAATACGTTGATCTGATGTGTTTATAGGCCCGGTAACAAAAATAAATCGCTCGGGAATAGTCAAGGGAATAGGTTCAATTGAATTTGCAATAAGCTTTGTGTGAGGATAAAAAAAAAAAGCATATATATATTATATATATATATAAATATAAAAACTATTCATAAAATCACTAAATAATTATATTATGTATTCAACCTTTTGCGTATGAAAATTGCACAAAAAGTATTGCCCATCTACACGAGCTAAATCTTCAAATTTTTCCTATGAAATCAAATGAATATGATATTTATTATTTAAATCCATTGGAATACAATTATATTATCATATAAAAACATCAAAATTACCAGTAGAACCGCAAATTCTTTAACATCTGGCAATTGATGAGCAAAGAGTTCTACCATTTCCATTGTAGGCTGTAATCCTGCCATCTTGTTTATTTGCAACGTAATTATTTGAATATACACATAATAATAAATAATATCCATGAATTTAATGAATTATTTTACCTCCAAATCTTTGTGTGGAGCTTCCATTGCTTGATGTATATATTTCAAATCCATGCTCTCAAGTCTGAATTAATAAATGTGCAAAAAAATTGGTATAATTTAAAAATAATCTTGTATAATTTAAAAATAATCTTGTATGATTTATTGAAAATACTTACGCTGTTACTTCACCAACAGAGTTTTCAGTACCAAATCGACCAGCTCGTCCAGCGATTTGCTTAATCTGAGGAATAGGGATGTGTCGTATACCTATTCCATCATATTTTTTTATGGATTCGAATACTATTCGTTTAATATTTCTAAATGTAATAAAATTTTTTAATGGAATTAATACACGATCGTATTACACATAACAAAAAGATACTTATAAGAGTTAAACAAAAAAAAAAAACAGTTTACCTACAAATTCAAACCCATTCCAACAGCATCACTTGCAACAAGAACATCGAACCCACTATTAGGGTCATTGAATAACTTTGCTTGTTGCGACCGAGTTTCTAAATAGAAAATTTCAATATAGATAAGAATACCGCAGATAAGGAATAGCAATAACTTGTAAAATTGTATTCACACACCAGGTGGCAGACTACCATATGCAACTGCACAGCGAAGACCAGTAGCTGCTTCAATCTCATGCTTTAGACTGAATATTGATTTTCTGGAAAAAGTTACCACGCAGTCGCCTTTTTTTATTTTTTTAAGATCACCATCAAGAGATTTTGGACTTATTTCAAGAGTAGAAAGACGTTTATATTCCCGAACCTCAATGTCCTCATTGATACTTTGGCAAATAGACCTAACAAGTGGTACAGCCGAAGGTTCTCCACATATATGAATCTCTTTAGCTTGTAAACCTATTTTTATTTATTTATTGTTATTTTACGAGGATCTTATAAAATTCCATTGAACTGACCAAATGTCCGAACAAGAAAGTATGTACCCAAAAGGGCTTGCGTCCATGCCCATCCTCGTTGTTGATCACTTATCATCTGAATCTCATCGATAACAGCTACATCGACTTGCTTTTGTAGATTAACCATTTCAATAGTCGAAGACGTCAAAGGTACATGAATCCCTTTTAATTCCCTTCTTTCCTCTCCAGTCACAAGATTACATGGGACTCCCTTATTATTAAATCTGTCAAAAACTTCATGTGCAAGTAAACGCAATGGACCACAATACACTCCAGAATTTGCATTTTCTAAACACTTTAAAGCGTTATACGTTTTTCCCGAATTTGTGGGACCAACATGAAGTATGATCTTGCTGAGAAATAGAAAGAATAGAATCAAACGCTAGGTTTTTTGTACAATGTTTATTTATTTATTACTAATTGAGCATACCGCTGTATAGTTCTTGCAGCTGGATGCCATTCTGCTGGAAAGCTAAGATCGCTTAATTGTTTCAATGAGTTAAATCTTTGCTTGTCTTCATCAGACATGAAATTCATGGAATATTCCAAAAATGCGACCTTTAATAATTTCTCCACAGCTTCTCTCTAAATTTATTTACAAATTTTTTTTTTTTTTCTGAGAAATTAATTCATAATGAAATAATTTTAACATTTTTCTTTTATTAAACAACATACCCCACCCTCATTAAGCGCAGATTGTAACGCTATTCTATTACATTTTTCTAGCTTTCCATCCCGCACTTCTTTAACAAATTGTCGAATCGCTGTACGATATTTCATTATTTGCACACCCATTTCAGTACTTTGACGTCTAACATCCTTCGAAGTTTGGAAATCCAACAATACTTCTTTTAATACACGTTCGATATCTTTTGGTTCATCAAATATTCTACTTCCGAAAATGATACGATTCAAACGATTCAATTTATTTTCATTAGGACGTATTAATGTTGTTTGTGTTGATTTCGATTTATAGTCATTAGCACGCAATAATATTGCTTGTGTTGATAATGTATTTTTATCTATCAAACGTAAACGTATAGAATATTTAAAAAATTTACATCGAGAAACCAAATTCATTTTATATTTTTTTGTTATTAATTTTCAGCGATAAAAAAATAATCGATTCCTATTTCAGTATATCGATATGGAATGACATTCATTTGATTGGTTATCAAACCGTGATTATTAACCAATCATATCAATCAAAAATTCAATGTGAGTGAAGAGACATAGCTATTTTTTTTGATTTTTTTATATAACATAATTCTAAGAAAAAAAAACTTTTTATTGCATACTGTAATTCTATTTATTTTTAGTAATTGCAAGACCTTTATTAAAGATGCTTCCCAATTTTTAATTCATATAATTAATAGATGATTCGCCAGTCATCTGGAGTAGTGTTACAAATTGTTAGCTAAACAACTAACTAGTTGCCAACTTTCCAACTAGTTGGTTTAAAAAAATTTTAAACA